TTATATAATATAATTTAGGAGGTATCTGAGCTTGTTCACTTGGTTAGTGGTCTTACAGGTGGTTATGGCCACTAAAATCTCAATGTAGTTCTGTTTGCCTGTCTGACCTCCCATCTCTCTCTCTATTTTTTTCTCTCTCTCTTTCTGCTGGAACAGGGAGATGTAATCTGAGCGAGTGAGTAGTTGGTAGCGTGTTAATAGTGTTAGGCTGTAGGCAGGGTGCCGTTCTGGTCCGGCTCGGCTGCACATGCATTTGATGGATCACTCTTCTGTCAGATCAATTTTAGAAATGCATTGGAACCAGAAAGACAAAGAGAGAAAGAGTGAGCTAGAGAGATAGAGAGGGAAGGTCAGGGGCGGAATATAGTGGGTACGGAAAGTCACCGAGCGATATAAAAGGGTGGACATATGAAAGGCGCTGGGAGTGAGAGATATAAAGATGATACCGCCACAGGAGGATGGCAGAAACAAAGTGAGAAATAACAATGGGGTAAAATGGTATCGCTGCAAAAATGCGTGGGAGACTGAAAGGTAAAAGAAAAAAAAATGTAAGTGAATAGTATTCGATATTTCCCTCTCCATCGCCCTCGATATTTATAGCTGATAAGGACTTGAGGCTAGAGAAAAAAAGAATGATCTCTTTGAACCATGTGTTGAAACTGGTGGAAACTGACTATTAACTACACTCCTCCACACAGACTAAAATCCACTTTCTTCGATTTGAATGCCACAAATATGTAGAAAATATACACAAAGTCGTTCTTCACCACAATTGGAGCAGCCAAAGGTCATGTCTGCCAATGTTTAGATGCAGCTTTAGCTTTAGATGCAGTTGAGGGACACTCGAGGGCTTCACGATTTATTAAAGTAAAACGGTAATTGCGATAGGACTAGTGACTTTTTTTTTTTTTTTTTTTTTTTTTAAGTCAGAAAGACTTGATTTAATTAAATAAATAAATGCACTGTTTTAAAGGGATACTCCACTTTTTTTTTTTTTTTTTTTTTTTTTTTTTGGGAAATAGGCTCATTTTACAACTCCCCCAGAGTTAAACAGTTGAGTTTTACTGTTTTCGAATCCATTCAGCCGATTTTCTTATTTTTAGAAGAATATCAGTAACCGGACAGTTTCTGGTCTCATTGACTTCCATAGTATATTTTTTTTTTCCTATGGAAGTCAATTATACCAGAAACTGTCTGGTTACTCAAGGAGGCAGGTAAAACAGTAGGCAGGTGTTTAAGTAAAACACTTAAATCCTTATTTCTCCCATCTCAGGGGAAAATAAGGGAATAAACCATGACCATTCAGAAATATGATTTTGTTTCTAAAGATACAAAGCTTAATGCAAATGGGTGAAGTGTCCCTTTAAGCGTGGCATTTTGATCTGTTAAGCAGTTCACTCAACTTCTTAAGTGTTTCTTTGCAGCTTGAGTTACTTCGGCTGGTTTTCGAGGGGTTTTGAGTAGTAATTATAGTGTAGCAGGTCAGACTTAGAGATCAGCTATCTAACACCAGCAAAGTGGGGAGATCAGTTAGACCAACTTAAGAACACCAACAAATAGGGCAGGCTGGAAGTTCAAATGCGTGTTTTATTTTGTTTTTGTTTTCAGCAGAAAAAGTGCTACCAAATTTCAACGTCTCAAGTCTTCTATTTGTTGGATCAAAGCTTGTAACGTCCCCAAACTTCACACATTGGTAGAGCCAAATGAGTTGGACATGTTTGAAAAAACAAAACAATGTTTTGAAAGAGTAACTGTGTTTTTATTCTTCTGGAAGTCAACCTTCGAATGGTCTACTCTGCACACAGTAGTTGTCTCTGCACAATTGAGATAGGAGAAATTTTAACATTTCTAAAGAACTATAAAATAAAAAGTCCTTTGTTGAATTTGGAGAAAAATGGTTATTTTTTAGACATTGGCCTGCAAAACCCTTTTTTACTTTAATTGGAACATTTTATTTGTATGTGTGAATGGTGTGGAGGAGATTTGAGAGTTGTTGAAGAGTGTGAAGACGAAGCAGGAGAGTTGGCTATAGGGAGTTTTGAGGTTATTGAGAGTTTGGGGAGGTTTCTAAAAGGATGTACTTGAGATCTTTAGTTGAGCCAAAGCATGCTGAGAGACTGTGAATTAAAAAGCAAAATTAAGATGTGATTGAAAAATGGAGCTTGTGGAAGAAGTTAAAATTGTGTCCACTTTATTTCTTATTCACCTTCCAGTATGGCTATACAACAGCTTTTTTGTCTGAGCTGCCTTGTTTTCTACTGTCTAGTATAGGCAGCCATTTTCTAAGGTAGCATCGTAATCATGGTAGAGCCTTATAAGTTAACAATTTATATGTACAACACACCACATATTCAGCAGCTAGATTTCGAACGAGTTTTCCTTTAGATTTTTAAATGTTTTCGAAGTAGTCTCTCGTATGAAAGTATGAAAAGTAGTCTCTTGTTTGAAATGTATGGAAGCTTGCTTCTGCCATGGACTAAAACAATTTAAAAGATAATTGTGACTTTTTTTTTCTCCTCACAAATCAGATTTTTTTTTTTCAATTTGAATTTGAATTTGACAAAGCTGACTTTTCAGCATCAATTATTCCAGTCTTCAATGTCACATGATCCTTTAGAAATCGTGGAGTGCTGATCTGGTGCTCAAATAACATTTCTTATTATCAATGTTAAACACAGATATGATTCATATTTGTGTCGAAACTGTGATTATATGTTTTGCATGATTTTTTGTTATAAATTGTAAATGATTTCTCACTGTTATTCATTAATTTAAGACTTTTATTTTACCTTTTATTAGACTTTATTTCGATGATCCACTTTTGACATTGTACTAACCATCAGTAACTTTGCAACTATATGTCAACTAACTAATTAGTTTATATGTCAACTAATATGTCAACAAACTGAGTTAGTAGAATAAGTTGACATGTTGCAAAGTTACTTATAGTCTAGAATGTCTGTTGGGGAGCATTAAAATAAAGTGTTAGCATATACTAAGCAGACAGTCAACTATTACTCTATGACAGCTTGTTGACATACTGTATATTTGCAAAATTACACACTCCAACAATGCTTATATATATATATATATATATATATATATATATATATATATATATATATATATATATATATATATATATGATTTTACAGTCCATTGTCATTTTAAAAATAAAAACCTTATATATATATATATATATATATATATATATATATATATATATATATATATACACCTTTTCCAATCCTGACCAAAACAAATCATTGTTAAATCATAAGTTTGCACTACAAATAGGCTATGCATTATCCATCAGTTTGATTGAATGAGCTATACAATTTCCTTCATCTTCTTATGTTCAGACTTCAAGAGAATAACATAACACTTGTATTTTGTGATGTGGTATGATAATAATAACTGTGGCAAGAGCTCTTTTCAGTCGCTGCATTCCTTTCCTCCTGATTATTATTTGTATTCCTTTGAATTCCACTATAACTGAATAAAAAGGATAAAGGATACTGCACATTTGTCCCAATTTAATTTATGATATATAGCATTAATTATTCACTGGAATGCACTAAGAGTCTCTTACTTTTCTCCCAGAATCCTCGCATCTCCTTCATGTTTGTTTTCACACTGATGCTTAAAAATGTAATTGTCTCCTGTTTGCACTTCTAACACTTATAAGCAATGTTTATTTATTTATTTAAACATTTTTTGTCTCACACAATGACGGAAATCACTTTGAACTATAATCACTCAATGTTCCAGTTAATTCATGTTTTTATTCAGGTTACATCAAAAACAGCTTTACCTTGTGCCATCTCATCTTTCAGATAAGTTTCAGCCTATCAAACTTGTAGCGTGACCACAGATGCAACGCTAGCGCAATAGATCAATGGCGCTACTATTGTAATCAGTAGAGAACATGGCAACTTTGTTATATATGGCAGCGGTGTGGTGTTGTGTTTCATCCCTGATTAGAGAAGGGTATACTGTAGCTGCAGCCCTGGAGGTCTCCAAATGGGGGTGGGAACTCCAAAATGGGACGGCATGGCTTCCTCCCATTGATGTCTGCGCTGATATGCAATAATAATGCTTTTAATTATAATTTGGCATTGTGTTTTATTCATTTTAGATACACATTGTTTACTTTATTATTCCCCAAGTTCACCGGCCACTATCATTTATGCGAGTTCTAGAGAAATGGATGAATTTACGTTACGTAAATCCGACAGGTCCGATTCTCTGAATACCCCAGTTTGTGTCCAAGCACGGGGTCTGAGTTAGTAGAGTGTCTAAAGAGGACCATTGAAATAAAGTGTTACTAAATATTTATTTTGTTTCCATTATCTTTCATCTTTGTTTGTATTTTAACATTATTTTTTTCTATGTTGTTTTACTGTCAGTTAGTTAGAACAGTACTTAATTAATAATGCATTGGACATTATTGACATGATTCTCTTACACAAAAAAGAGATAAACAGCACAAAAAATAATTGGATCAAAGAAAAGGTCAATGAAACATCTTGAAAGTTTTTATATGTTTGTTTTTTTCCTGTGAGCCACCACAAGTGCTGTAAAGAATATTAAGATATTTAAGAAAACTGAAACAAATCTCTTTCTGTTCTTTCTCACTAGATGACCCAGGAGCAGTACATCCTGGCATCTCAGCCGAACCCCCTCCAAAGGCCGGGATGTGCTACTGTGTACCCTGTGGGGATTTATGGCTGGCGAAAGCGCTGTCTCTATTTCTTCATCCTCCTTCTCCTCGTCACCATGATCGTCAACCTAGCTTTGACCATCTGGATTTTAAAAGTCATGAACTTCACCGTGGTGAGCAATTCTTTCTTTTATTGTGATCCTCTTTCTCATTATGTTTTTATTCTTTTAACGCTGATGCAAGGAACACTATTACTATTGCTTTTAATATGAACAACCCCAGTAAGTATTAAACAATGGTGCGTAACTCATCCTGTGTTTCAGAAATGAATTATTCCACAAATTAGGCTGCTTGCTATTACTCCATTAGCCCTGCATTTAAGGAATGTAAGCCTTATCTATGTCCCTGAATATCATTAAGACTTTGGGGTGGGCTGTTTTGACAATTTTACACCTAGAACACCCATATAGGCACTTTCTTTTGTGGTTCATAGGGTACTGGTTGTATGCACGTTATGAATGTTAGTTGATGGATAATAGTTAATGCATTGGCTTATAATGAGCAATGTTGAAAATTCTTGAGAAAATGAAATCAAGTTGTATCTGATTCTCAGCAACTTGGTGTACTTTTGTGATCCATGCTGACAAAATGAGTCACAATGAGTTATTGTTATTTTTATATTTACATTACATATATATTCACATTCGATATTATCTTCAAAATGATGCATGATTTGTTGGATTCAGATAAAAAAAATAAATGCCGGGCTTGAAGTTGAGAGTCAGTACATTTTTAGATAGGCTATATCGAGTTAAAGTCTTCTGAAGGTTCCGAAACAAAATGATCTATAGCAAGTACATCTTAAAATCCCTTGGAATAACATTAAATTTGTCACAAACCAAGTCAAAATGCATGCAGAAAAAAATATACAGTACATTCAACCTTTTTCCAATGATAACATAATTGTTCGATTGACATTAATGAGACAGACAGCCTTTTTTAAGACCTACTGTAATGCACGGATCTAAGATAATCAGCTGTTTTTCCCCAACAGTTAGCCAAAAGTTAATTTAAGACATAACTGATAACTTTTGTGTGAATACCATAGACTATAAAACAAATATGGACGTAGTGTCTGTGACGTCACCCGTAGGTTTCTGTAGAGCGTTTTTGAAGCCTAAAGTGGACTGAGCCAGCCGTCGCCATCTTGGCAGCATGTCACCTCTCGTCACTACCCGATATAAAATGGGCAAAGAGGCGGGACGTGGGTGGAGCTGAGGTGCTAATGTTATATGCTACTGGCCTCGCACAAAAGTGACAACTGATTGAAGAATTAAAGCCAATAGTTAAAATTCATGTTTTTGCCCTTCGAAATATTATAATAGTTAACCCATGCCATCAAGAATGTTCTATAAATGTGCACAAAGTTTGAATACTGGGCTTTACAATGATACCAAACTTTTGCTGAGGGGGAAGTACCCGTCGTCGAGAAACAAACAGAGAAATATCATTTTGTCATTGATTATTACAAACAAAGGAAAGATTTGGCACACCTCTCAGAAAATGTCTTTAATTACTATTTGGAGCATTGGGATCACTAGACATGGGCTTGATGGAGACATTTTTGTGAAAACCTCAAATTTGACCAAAATGACATTGTATCTTGTGCACATTCTGACTCATATTGCCAGCACTGGTCACATTTGTTGTATTCACTCATTGGCTCAAATTATCTTTCTCTTTCTTTCGTGTGAATGGCCTTACTCAGATGGTCAGGTGTACTAGCTTGCAAGCATGAGGTCACAACACTTTATTTGCCCAACTGATTAGTCATTGTTTAACAGCATCTGGCATACATGCTGTCTGTTCAGAATTACAAACCATGGCTGTCTGGATCAGCGGAGTTGTGAACCTACTCAAAAATGAACACTCTGTGGTTTGTCTGCCGAGACAGCAAGAAGAATGAGAGGATTTTGTGGGCTTGAACAAGTGTGTGTGTGTGAGAGAGAGAGAGAGATTTAGGGAGAGACTGTGTAAGAACTGGGAAATACAATAGAACTAAAATACCTCTTTGTATAGTTAGTATGTGTCCGAGTCGCTGCTATTATAACATGCGGGCTCTTGAAACCTCTTTTTTTAGCGTATGTACTCATGTGTGGTTGCAGGTCCTATTGTGTGTAGTGTTGGGGGAGATGCTCTTTAGTCATAGTCTTAGCATTAGTTTACTTATGGCGCTTTTCCACTGCATGGTACGGTACGGTTCGGATAGGTACGGCACGCTTTGGCGCTTTTCCACTGCATGGTATGGTACGGCTCGACTCGGTACGGCTCACTTGTGGCGCTTTTCCACTGCATGGTATGGCACGGCTCGACTCGGTATGACTCACTTGTGGCGCTTTTCCATTATGGTATGGTACGGTACGGTCGCTTCGGCTCGCTTTGAATCATACCTGGTCTGTTGAGGTTCCAAGAATACCGTAACGGTACTAAAATGTGACGTGGAACACTGCAGATCACTACCAGCGTCATTGTATTTGCGACCAATAGACATCTAAACGAGAAACCAAACCCGCTAGATTTGAATAGCCAGTAACAGCCGCCGCTTTTATCGAACTTATTGTCTTAAAATCCCAACCACTTTAAAGCGGTACTAACTGCATTGGAAAAGCAACCAAGCTAAGGCGAACCAAGCCGAGCCGTGTCGAGCCGTGGAAAAGCGAAGCGAGTCGAACCGTGCCACGCCAAGCCGAACCGTACTGAGCCGTACCAGCAGTGGAAAAGCACCATTTATTGATACTTACATTTTTTATTTACCTATTTATTTACTCATTTATTTAATTTGTTTTTAGTTTTAATATTGTGGGAAATTAAAATCATTTCTATCATTTTGCGAGCAAAGATGGAGTTGGTGATAAAGAAAGATGTCCCTTCACATAGGAATATTTCACCCAAAAGTTTGTCGATATCACACATGAAATTTGCAAACTTTACGAGAGTTATGCTGGTGAAGGAATCTCAAATCACAGTCCATTATTCACTTCAGAAAATGGAAGCAAAAACTGACCGTGCTTTTGGAATCTATCACTGAATTAACGACATCCCAGAGGAAATATTTGGTTGCTCAGTTGTTGAGTTTTGGATGTTAACTAACATTGCTTAGGAGATATAAGACGAGACATAAATGAGACATGACAAATATATGAGAGAAAAGGAGTTAAAGATGAGAATGTGGTGGGAATAATATATATTCATTGTCTGGCTGAAATCTCTTTCAAGAGTCCATTATAGGAATGTTTTATTGTTCAAGGGTTGCTCTTTTTAAGCTCAAGAGACTTAGCTGTGATTCTCATTTATCAAAATCAAAATGTAGTAGATGAACAACGATGCTTTTTTTTGTCTTGGCTCAAACAACAACTTCATAAGAATGATGCGTGTAACAAGTATTTAATTTATAACGACGTGTGTGGGATGTAGGTTTGTAGCCTGTTTTAAACACCTTTTAATTTAGGAGTCCTCAATCCTCATTTGCACGTTTATGTGCCACAATGTGGAGATGTCGCTATTAAATTACAGAAGGGCAAATTAATTGTATAATAATTATTATTATATTAATTATCATCATCATCATTATCTTCAGATTGTCAAAGACATCAGCAGTGATCTCTGACTATCATTGATACACAATCGGCACAACCATACTGTGCAGCTGATATCTTTGCTGTGTGACTGCCAAGGGGACTGTGCCATGCACAGACTTATTACTGACTTCATCTTGGCAAACCTCGAGTTGTTTGACCTGTAAAGTGGAAAAACTCTTAGGTGGGCCTTTCTCCAACTACAATGGGAGATAGCACTACATGAGCCAACAGAGTTGGACCTAATGACAAAAATAGGCATATATTCATAGTACACATATATTCTCCCATTAATCCTTGTTATCATGACTGCATAGAACTCTAGAAATTCAAAGCTGGATCAGTGACATACTGCCAGCTTCACTCATTCCTCCCACTCGTTTACTGTCTCCTGAGTTCTAATCAACATCACCTGCAACTCATCAGTTCATCTCCCTTTTCGACACCCCTTCAAACACTCATTAACTGCGTTTAGATGGACCCTTATAATCGGATTGACGGCTCAATCGGACTAAAAAACCTTCATGTAAACACCTAAATCGATCCGATTGAGCTCGATCTGACTGTAATTTTGATCAGATTGAAAGGGGTGGTTTACTCCTTTTGTAATCCTATCGCGAGAACATGTGAACACTTCTTATATAGTTTCCTGGTTCATGACGTGACCCACCTCTAACATCCCGTCACGCCATTGGATTGATTTTACATGTGCTTCAATACATCATCACGCAAAGCGTTCCCTTAGCGTCAATTGACGCAACGCGAGTTCCCTCGAAAGGAAAGTAAGATTTAACCCGATCGTTTAAATAACAAAAGTTATAATCATTGTAGCTTTAGAGATCATCAGTGACAAAAGGAAATATTCTCTAAGCCTTTAATTATTTATTAAGTTACATGTTCAAATATACAGACAGTACAATGGATCAACACACTGTATAGAAAACTTAGTTGTAACAAAAATTGTACGGTTGTACAAACAAGGCCGTAAAAGCCTTTCTCAGAGAATGAGGTTATGCACCAGTCTGCAGGAGTGGTAGGGTTAAAGCCTCTCTCCAGGATCAACAGTTACCTTTCCTTTATACCCTGAGGAAAGCATTGTTAAACATGAGTGGAATATCAATACCAACACCAACCTATAGGAAACCAAAAGATGAGGCAAATGGGTGGTGATCAAGAGGGGGAGAAGAACATTAACATATTCTCCTCAATGCACAATAGTACCTAGATTTTACAGTAGGATATAAGTTTACCACCATTCATGTCAGTGTATAAACTGTCAGATGAGACCAAACATGACATAATTACATATTAGAACACACTATTAAATAAACAGTATGTAGTTGAAAGCATATGTCATGTGAAGCAAATGGTACAGACGTGTCATTGAGGTGCAAATGACTCTCCCGACAGAACTATCCTGTGCCTGGAGTGCCCCAAAAGTCCTCAATCCGCGTATTGATGCAATCACTTTAACCGTTAATAACCGTCAACCTTTATCGTTAATAGGTGGTTTGCAGTCACGTGATTGTGTTGACGCG